TTGAAGGTGAGGTGCACTCTCATTAAGGTCATCACAGGCCTAATCAGAGGAAACGGGGTCTCTCTGGGGTGTGGCCTGTAAATTCTCATAAGCATCACATGGGACAAAATCAGGCTGAGAGTAGGGACCTCATACCAGCAGGATATAACTATCAAAGTGAGATGCAGCATCTGGGACCCAGGTCTCCGTATGAGGAAGCTCCTGGACACTAGGGGAGGCCCAGACACACCAGGACATGCAGGCCCTTCCTCTACATTTGATGGGGTGCAGGGAAGCTTTCCCTAGGGCGAACATGGGAATTCTAGCTTCTGGTCTTCTAAATTGTAAGAGAATAAATGTTTGTTTGTTTGTTAAAGCATCCCCTTGAGATACTTTCATTAGTTCCAGGCTTATTCTTGTAGGTAGCATGACCACAGATGGCCACCTTTTCTCTGGTCTGGACAGTGAGCAAGAAGTGGGCTGAGCCAAAGCTGCCAGCCCACCCAGAAAGCTGTCACAGGCACAGCATGGTCCCTCCCCTCAAGGAGTGCCTGGCCCATGCCGGAGATGGACGCTAAACAAGGACACACATGAACCCCTGAGCTGAGGTCAGAACTGCATGCTGAGAGGTCCCAGAAGAAACAGGGACTGGCTCTCAGACAGGCCCAGAGCAGGAAGTCATTTAACACCTAAGTATCGAGAAAGCTGTCCAGGCAGGTGCAAGGAATCAGTGAAGCTGGAGCAGAGGGCACAAGGGAGGCATTAAGGCTGGACTCTGGGTCAGGTGCAGACATTCTGTGAGCACAGGACAGTTTCCAGTGAGGAGGGGCTTTTGTGAAGAAACAGTCAAGGAGGCACTGGGCACAAGGGTGGCAAGTTCCCTCATCTGCATGAAGAGCCTGTTTTCTCATCTGTGCAGGGGACACCTGGCCTATCAGGGAACTCAGGGCAGATGGCTGGACCATCAGATGATGCTGGTCACTATAGTAGCCATATGTCTCGCAGCACTGCTGGCCGGAGTGTTCTACCTCCTGAGGACAGTACTCAAGAGAGCATGATCCAGCATGGCAGCCCCTTGGCACCCTGAGCCTGAAGCTGGTACACTGTGCCGTCTCTGATGAATGAGCAGCACTGCTCCTGCGCAGGGTGGACAGAGTCAGAGATGGTGCATTATTATTCACTCCCTCACTCACTCTGCACTTTGACAAGCCCAGGACAATGGACACCTGAGGCCAGAGAAGGAGGGGTCAGCATGCTCAGCTGATGAGGCATCTGGGCTTGGAGATGGTCGCCACCATGCCCTACTGGACATGAGCGGCAAATCAGTGGTAGGGGCACTCAGAGAAGGTCCTCTCAGCTGGGTAGGAATGAGCACACTATGGACCGAGCAAATGCCTGGGGACGGTGACAGTTTGGGCTTAACAGCATCCTGAAGGAAGGCCTGGCAATCCACTTCCACAAAGATCACCTAAGAAAGTCTCACCTGCTCCATGACACAGGAGGAGAGCCCTCCCTGCTCTGTGACACAGGAGGAGAGTCCTCCATGCTCTGTGACACGGGGAGAGTCCTCCCTGCTCTGTGACGTGGGGAGAGTCCTTCCTGCTCTGTGATGTGGGGAGAGTCCTCCCTGCTCTGTGATGTGGGAAGAGTCCTCCCTGCTCTGTGACGTGGGGAGAGTCCTCCCTGCTCTGTGATATGAGGAGAGTCCTCCCTGCTCTATGATGTGGGGAGAGTCCTCCCTGCTCTGTGACATGGGGAGAGTCCTCCCTGCTCTATGATGTGGGAAGAGTCCTCCCTGCTCTGTGACATGAGGAGAGTACTCCCTGCTCTGTGACATGGGGAGAGTCCTCCCTGCTCTATGATGTGGGAAGAGTCCTCACTGCTCTGTGACATGAGGAGAGTCCTCCCTGCTCTATTATGTGGGGAGAGTCCTCCCTGCTCTGTGATGTGGGGAGAGTCCTTCCTGCTCTATGATGTGGGGAGAGTCCTCCCTGCTCTGTGATATGAGGAGAGTCCTCCCTGCTCTGTGACATGGGGAGAATCCTCCCTGCTCTGTGATATGAGGAGAGTCCTCCCTGCT